TCGGTAAGAGGGAAAAGAAGAGAAAAAGCTCATTCGGTAGTCGCATTTGAACGGTGGTAGAGTTTGAAACAAAAAAATTTCCTTTTTTGTCACTCTCTCCCTCATCTCATACAAAAGGGGCCGTAAGGAGAGGAGTGAAAGAGGAACAACGTACGGTTTTTCCACTTGAAGTTCACTCAGCAGATCAGAAGGATTTAGCCGTCTGATGGCTTGTTCGCCTAGCTTCATCTACTTGATCTTCTGCTTTTTCCATTTTTTCCTAGTCTTTCGAATCAAAAAATGTGGAAATCAAATCAGTTTCAGAACATTCTCAATGATGTTTTGGGTGTTTTGTTCGTCGTTGTCTTCAGCTTCATCTCTGTCGTCTGCTTGTTCTAGTCAATGTTCGTTCATTTTTTATTTTGTCGTCTTCTGCCTTTTTTAGAACAACAGATCATCTCGTTTGGCTGATAACGCATTAAGAGACATTTTCATGAGAACTTTCCATTTTTCATTTCTCTCATTGAATGATAAGAAGACAAGGAAGAGAATAAGAGAGAGATAGAGGTAGAGTATGTGGATGATGTAGAGAGAGAGAGAGAGATTCTGAGAGCAAAGGGATAGTTGCAAGCTTACAAGGAAGTTTTAACAGTATGAAGATAGCATGTTAAATGAAGAGAGTGCTAAGAGGAAGGAATTTGAGAGAAACAACTTCATAGTGCCTTCTTTTTCTTTTCTTCTAATGGAACCATTCATAGAGAGCTTTCCCTCTCTTCATATTCACCTCCTCCTCTCTCTATGCTATAAGAATACGTTGGCATATAGAGAGAGATAGATAGAGGAGGATATTGAGATGAAAGAGAGGAAGGCTAAGGATGATTTTCATTTCTTCCTTCACCAATTAACGAAAACAAAAAAATAATGGGATTGTTTGTGTTTTTGTAAGAAAATCGTTCGTTTATCTAGATGTAAGTCATGAATCTGTTGAAGAAGACGACGAAGAAGCTTGAAATACTCGTGTAAGCTTGTTTCTCGATGCTTATAAGATTCCAATGGATTACTTGACTTTTGAAATATTTTCATCGTTCAAACAACATTTTGTTTTTGTTTTGTTTTTTACTTGTGTGCCCGAGCAAGATAGCTCACATTCCTCTTTCTGCATTCATCCCTCTTTCCCTCTATTACTCTCTCTCTCTGCTTCTCATCCCTCCTTCTCTCTCTCTCTCTCTCCTCCTCCTCTCTCTATTTCTCTCGCATTAGGAAAATGAAACGTAATTTGTTTATTTTCAAATGAAAAGTTTGTTTATTAATGTATTAATTATTGTCAAAGGACAGATGTTAAGAAGAAGTTGTTGGATGAGAAGACAGCCAAGTCTCATTTGGCAGATGTTGAATGACAAGAATTGATGACGTCGACAAAGACTTCATTTCACTTTTTATATTTAATTCACCTTCAATTGTGCTTCTCTCTCTCTCTCTCTCTATCTTCCTCCGTCTCTTATGCTTTACGTGTTTTCCCTCTGAAAGCCATATGAAATCAATCCAGTTCAGACTATTCTTCTCTTGGGTGCTTGGAATGTGAAACTGACGACGAACTTTCGAATTGAACGCATACACTGTTAAAGACATTAACGGCATTTTGTTCCGAGAAAACTAACATATGCTTCCTATATCTCATGTTTTTATGTCCAAAATCTATAAGGGAAGCAAGAGAGAGAGAGAGAGCAAGCCTTACAAAGAGAAACGATGCGAAGCTAGAGTGTTAGAGCGAGAGAGAGAGATTCCTTATTATACTGCAATCTCCTATATCAATGATGGTTTTTAAGGAAGTTTTCCCAATCTTCTTTTTTTCCATATTCAACCGAGCTTTATCATTTCAATGCAAAGCACCATCTCTGCTAATCTGCCCTCTTATATTAATTTTATTTTTAATTTGATTGAATCATTTTACAGGCTCACCAAACGTTGTACTGGAGTACCTCTCCTATGATCTAACCTTCTTCCGTACTTCATTCAAGTTAGTGTTTCATTATGAAAGTCTATGCCAGTTTCTAAAATATCTGTTGGCAAGCCCCATGAACTTAAGATTTCCTTTCTATACGCATAATCTCAGCTTTCACATCCCATTTTTGGTTAAAATCACAAAAATTTCTTTTTCAATTCAAAGCATCTGATTAATGCCAATCTTTTTTGACCAAACGAAGAAAAGAATGAGAGAGATAGAGAGAGAGATAGAGAGAGAGAGTAAGAGATAAGCAGAGATATAGAAAGATAGAGAGAGAGGGAATGATAGAGAAAGAGAGAATTGCAAAGAGATATTGGGATTTCGGACCAGCTGTAGATGTCTATCCAGTTTTGGCATCATTGGCTAAACGTGATGGCGCAGTGCTGGGACCGAGGACTGAGAAGGCAGCCGATCATCATTTTTCCATTTTTTTTGTGTCCGATCAGTATCTTCGGATGCTTTTTCATCATTGAAAATGCAATCAGATTTCACTTTTTCTTTTGCAAACATCCATTTGAAGATTTCGTCGTTGTGGAAAGGGTGTGAGAGGAAATAGGTTGGCGAGTGCTGAACGTCTTTACCTAAGTTATCATCATCATCATCATCATCATCATCATCTGAGCGCCCTGAGTAGTCAACCGTTCTTTTCAGTTTCCATTTACCGAATGATTCGTCTGCATGTTACTTGTCGTCTGTTATGATGTTTTCGATCTTTCAAGCTTTTGCGACAACAAAAAACCTTTTTTGATGTTTTTATTCAAATTTCAGTTCATCTTATCTGATGTGACGACTGTTTTTCAATACCAAAATAGTAATTTTTGGAAATAAAAATGAAGATTTTTAAAGATGATAACCTGTGTTGGCAATCTGCCAGCCTCTTCCCACCTTCACTTCCTCTCATCGTTCCTCCTTTACATGCCATCCCCCTTGCCTCCATCCATCTTCAGCTGTGTGCGTAGTACGTTCGTTCGTTCGTCAATCATCTATTGGCGCATTCATATCTCACTACTACACTTTACATACATTTTAGATTAAAAAAAAAACATTTTATTACAAAAGTTACATTTCACTTTTGAATTTTCCATTGTCAACTTCTTTGTCTCTCGCCTCAACACTTTTTCCGGATGGAGAGGTGTGTGACCGCGAGTCACAGTCCGTCGTCATTCATAAGTTCCAGCATATCTCATGCTGCCATTGCAACACCAACCAAAAAAAACTTTACAAATGAGTTTTATTTATGCTTATTTGGGCAGTTAAGATGACATTCCGTTCTTCTCTTTTTGTATTTCTTTTGTTTCAATTACAATGGGTGGTTTGGTGTTTTCGTTTGTTGCGCTTTTTATGAAAACGACCACCTTTCTCATCGGTGACAGATTGATTCCCTCTGAACCCTCAAACTCGTGAGTATCATTCTCTCTCTCTCTTTCTCTATTCATCTACTCCTCTCTCTCTCTCCCTCTCTTTCACTTTTAGAAGTTCGAAGATCTTTGTGCCACTACTACCTACCTCTCACTCTCTTTGATCTTCTTCCTGTCACTTCGGTGATGAACTTAAAAAGAAAACCCAATGAATCATCTGCCAAGTGAGTTGTCGGCGATTTGTTTAATTTGCCTGTTTTCAGACAAGGAAAAACTCTTCGTTTTTGTTGAATTCATTTTCTTCTTACAAATCATACACACACACATAGACTTACCCCCGCGACGCAGACAACGAAACCGTTCTTCGTCCATCCTTGGCCATTCAGTTCTTTAAAAGCTGAGAACGGCAGCTGCTCATTCTGTGTGATTGAATTATATAATCAGACATGTTTATTTTCTCTTTTTGTGTCAAAACGATTTTCATTTCGTTCATGATGATTCTTCTTCTCCCCTCCTGAGATATGCTACGTTTCCCTCTCTCCAGCTATCCAACTCTCTCTCTATCTCTCTCTATCTCTCTCTATCTCTCTCTCACCTGATCCAAGCCAAACAACTTGCCAATTCGCTTATGATTTTCTTGTTTATGCAACGATTAAATGATGAAAAAACCTAATTTCAGCATAAACTATGAGGCTTCGATGGCCTTACATATGTCTCCTCAGCTTTATCATTCCTTTGGCTTCTGCCACCATTAGTGATGGCCCGGATGACGAGTTCGTTGATGAGTGGATGATGTGATCAAATGAAATCATCACTTTCAGAACGTTCCTGGTTATCAGAGCAATTCCTGAGAACACTAACCAGTTGGAGTTAATTCAGCGTTTACATGCCAAAATGGATGAATACGATGTAAGGCAAACAACACTTCCTCTATTTCAACCATGTTGCAGCTTGATTTCTGGCTGAGTCCTCGGATGCTCAATGATAAGGCTGATATCATGATTCGAGAATCTCGTTTCGAATGGCTGAAGAGCCAATTCGACTTTTTCGATTTGCCATACAATGTGACCATTCCAGATGTACAAAAGTACTCCTTGAGATCTTGCATTGAAAACATAGATATTGATTGATTCCAGACTGATTATCGAGCGTGAGCATAAGCCCCAGAGATCGGCAATCATCAATCGCTTTTCGAAACGTCTTCATGATGAACAAGGAAATAAAGCAAAGGTCCGAAAAGCCATAACTATCGGAATTAAATGATCGTAACTTCAGTATGGCTTCGGTGACTATCATTCCTACGATACGATCATTGAGTGGATGAATGATATCGCTCGTCTTTATCCAGACAGAGCTGAAGTCATGACAATTGGAACTACCGAGGAAGGCCGTCCAATCAAAACCATTAAGGTGTGTCTCAGTATTCCTTGAAAGATATGCTTTCGCTCCTCTTTTCTCTTTATCCAAAGCATCTCATCTCTGAGGGGAAAATGTTTTTGACTGTATCAACGTCAACTGACAATCTAAAGCTGCCGTTTGAGAAAAAGAAGAGAAAGATGTAGATACGAAAGTATCATAACGGGTTGAAGAAGAGAAAGAAATGAAAGAAGCTTACTTCTGATTTCTTATGAACTGTACTCTGATGTCTAAAGAGATTAGCAGCTTCACTATAATGCACCCAGCAGTGCAATGTACATGTGGCAACTAATCCTTCCAAGTCCAGGACTATCCATTGTTGAATGACAGACTAACTTAATATCAACTAAACTGAACTTTCAGTTGAACAGCTAATGATTTATGTTCTTTAAAGATTGGAAAGAACATCCAAGATACGTCGAAGCCAGTTTTTTGGATTGACGGCGGCATCCATGCACGTGAATGGGCTGCAGTTCATACAGCTTTATACTTTATTGATCGAGTAAGCTAAATATGATTCAATTATAATATAAAACAATATAACTATTCAGCTGATTGCTGATTATGATTCAGATAGGACTGTTCATCAGGCTATTGACAACTTGCATTTCTATGTAACGCCGGTTTTGAATCCAGATGGATATGAATACTCTCGTAGTGGAGTATCACCAATGGTATCAATCTCGCTTTTGTTCAAAATCACTCAAAATGCTCTTTATACTCAATTAGTTCTCTTTTCAACGATTGCTCTTCCAGATCCGTTTGTGGAGAAAGAACAGAGCTAAGATTGTTTGTAAGAAGGACAATTGGTTCAGAGAAAGATGTTGTGGAGGAGTCGATTTGAACAGAAACTTCGATTGGTTCTTCGGAGGTGAGAAAATGTTATTGTTTGAGAATATAGTACTTTGCCAAGCTTCAAATTGATTGAAATTGACTGAGTATCAAATTGCGTAATGGCGCGAACGTTTATTCACGTTTGAATTGGCGCGCTGATTCAGATTGAGCGAGATCGCCTGATCGAGCCAAGATCGCTTTTTGACAGAAATTCCGGCCAAAAAATGAATTTTGTCCAACCGATTTCAAACTTGGCAAGAAGGACAAACTTGATCCGCTGATCACAAAAATCTGCTTCTCAGTTCTCCAAAATGTCTGAAAGGTGAGATAGGGGAGCTCAAAGATTGTTCAAATCAGCTTCTCGGGAGAAGATAAGATTTTGCCAGAAACTGGAGTCGAAAAATCAATTTTGAGTAAATCGCTCCAAATTTGGTAGAGAGACTCATCAAGGCTCACTGATCCAGATAATCTGGGTCTAGTACCACGAAAGAGTCTAGAACTTAAGATAATTGAGCTTAAAATTTATTCAAGTTTGAATTGGCGCGCTACGTAAGACTGAAATGATACGCTAGGTGAGGAAGAAGCAAAACGTTATACGCAAACTTTCCGAGTCAGGAATGATAAACAGAAGCATATTCTAGAAATCGGATCAAGTTCTGATCGTTGCTCGGAAATCTACCAAGGAGAATCGGCATTCAGTGAAGCGGAGTCTAAGTGAGTTACAGTTTCATTTTGGTATTTCACCTTGCTTATCTAGGGCCGTTCGCGACATGATGTTCTCTCCAGCTTTAAGAGGAAAAGTTCTCGGATTCATCACATTACATACTTATTCGCAAATGTGGATTCATCCTTTCAGTCACAAAAGAAAAAGTTATTCTAATGATATCACTGAAATTGTATGAGCAACTCTTCACTAGCTTGCAAATGAAATTAATTGTTTTCAGGAAAAAGTTGGTCGAGCTGGTGTGGCAGCTTTACAAAACGTTTATGGAACGAAATATCGTTTTGGTACTGGTGCTGATATTCTATGTAAGTAACAGCAGTAGTCATTCCACGTTCTCACGGATACGTGAAATTTTTTGCGCGCATTTCACGTCTCTTTCGAAATGGATTCAAATTCATATGCATTTTACGCAAACATAGAAGCGGTTGCCCATAGGCTTTTCTTTCTAAAGGTTGACTCAATGCTTTCGTTTCAGATCCTTCATCCGGTGGTTCAGATGATTGGGCAAAAGGAAAAGGTGGAGCCAAGTTTGTTTACTTGCTTGAACTCCGCCCAGCCGAGGAAGGTATAAGCTTTTCAAACTTAATAGCTGATTGGGTTTTTATCAGTTTGGGATGGATTTATTCTCGACTCTCGTCAGCTCATACCAACCGGGAAAGAAACATGGGCCGGAATTCGCGTAGTAATCGAGGCTGTCTTGGAAAAGGCACCAAAAGGTTAGCTCAAAGACTACTTATTATTTTTGTTCTTCATATGTTGCTCTAACTGCTACGTGCTGCATGGTCTTAGTTGTTTAACCTCTCTCACTTATGTTTTCACAAGCTTGTCGTAGCATGGTTAGCGTAGTTTACAGATTTTGCAAGCACTTCGACTGTCAGCACAATCACCGAAAGCACTTCGCCATCATCATCTATACCTGAAGATCCTGTTACCACGACTTTGGCATTAGCTGCCAGTGATTCTGCACCAACGAGCACGGTTCGCACAATTTTGGCGGAAAGTACCGCAAATCCACTCACCACTCCTTCCCCATCACATGATTCCGAACAGGGAGAAACGCATTCCGCGGTTCCCTCCACAACTACAGAAGCTACTGTACCTACCACAAACTTCATGTTTGAGAATTTTATGGTAAATCACGATCTTCTTGCTGCCTCAGAGGATAGCAAAGACTCAGGCGATATTTTCTCAGAGGTTCTGAACACTAGTATCCCGCCAACTCCAGTTACTAACCATCACATGATGGATGAAATAACTTTCACAATCATCCCAGAGACAGTACCGATAGCCTTCGAGACTACGACTATAGAAACTTCAACCGAAGAAGCTACCACTACAGAAGCTACCACTAGAGAAACCACCACTAGAGGAACTACTACCGAAAAAACGCCACTGAATGAAGCATCTGTCAAAACAACAGACACATTCCTTTCTTTTCGTTCCAACAATGATGTCACTCACTTGATTGAAACAAAGCCGAACTTCACTATTGTAGTTCAATCTAGTGATGCTCCAAAAGTTACACATCCAGCTGCTGATTCAATAGAAACTGTTACAGTTCAAGAAAATAACCAGGGAACTTCTACAACAGAAATTTCATTTGTTCAAGAGTTGCCCCTAGCCTCATCAACTGAAAATGAATCGAAGGTGGAAGATGTGAAGCCGATAGCATCTATTCCATCATCACTATCCCAATCTTCAAAATTCAGATTTTTCGAGCAAAGCTTGGATGATAGAACGAATAAAACAGATGTTGATCAATCAACTGGAAAAGATATTGTCACTGTTGGAGGTTCAGTTGTTAATATACATTCTGATCTAGAGCAGCGTCAACGAAGCTCTACAGGTCTTCAAGAAGAAGCTACGACGACTGAAATACCAGTCACAACAACTGCATTTAAAGGAACAATTCAGAGAGATGGAAATCGAGCTCTCACTGGATTCCGTCCAGATTTAGCTACCGATGGCAGACCTTCAAGTTTCAAATCAGAGAGTTCGACTGAAAGTGGAGAAATACCCACTCTTAAACCTGTGCAAGACACAACACCTGCTGAGCCACTGCCTGATAATGATTTGTTTGAATCGGCTCTATTTTTCTTAGCTGCTAGACATAAGCAAGTGCGAATAGATCCACGTGTGGCAAAGCTCATTCCTGTCCGTACAGTTGCTCCGACCACCACAACCAGCAAGCCTATTGAGTTGATTTCTGAATCAACATCTTCAAATATTGCTAGCTTGGAATCCTCTAGAGGAGAAAACTCTCGAGTATCTCAGTTGACTCCAAGAGTAGAAACTGCTTCGGTCGTGCCACTGCCTCCAGTTAGAAGCAGAATTCTCCCAGCACCACCTTCGGAAATAGTTAAACAAGGGCCATTCCTTGTTGGCTTCCGTTTTGTTCCGGACGGTGCACCACCTTCTGCTTTACCTCCTAACCCAATTCTACCACCTGCTCGTCAACCTATAGAATCCTCTCCGACTAACGTACTATCTGGAATTAACAAAGGTAAAACAAGTTTTATTGACGTAACTGTAGGAACACATCTAGACACTCTCCCAGCGGTTGTGAGCAGACGACCTAATACGGTGCCGTCCTCGTTCCTGTCTTCGAGCACACCACTAAGCACTAACCGTCCCACTGTTCATAATTCATTCATAAGCACAGTCACATCTTTGTCCAGCACTTTACCTCCATTCGTTCGTGGTTTCCGTATTCGTCCTCCAGTGTTCCCTCCTTTCTCTATTGATCCAAATCTAGCTTCGTCCCTGAGAGTAATTCCAAGCCGTCAACCTGTAACTACAACGACAACCACTACGAGAAGCTTCACAACTCCACGTACAACTACAAGAAGGATCTTCACGACTCGTCGAATAATCACTACCACACCTACAACAACTACAACTACGACAACTACAACAACTACAACTACTCCTCCTACCACTACCACGACCACTGAACAGCCAATCACCCGTTTCCAACCACGTCAAAGACCCGTATGTTGCTAAATTTCAGAAAACTTGTTAACACATGCTATTGCAGACTTTGAGAAATGGAGATTCTTCTCGTAATTTCCTTCTTGAACGACTTCGTCAACAACAAGCCCGTCTCCAACGGTTACAACAATCTCGAACACAACATCAAATGGCACAACGACTTCGTAAGTTAGAATGGGTACAGGTCTACAAAGACAATTTGAATAAGATACAGTTCGAATCAGTCATCGGATTATAAATATTCTCAACCGAAAGAGAAGTTCATTCTTGCATGTGCTTTATCAAATCGTATGAATATTCTGATAGATTAGAATAGTCCTGAATGCTTTCATTGGTTTTCAGCATGCACCTATTAGATTTTGCGATTAGAGCATGTTTTCATATAACATTCCTTGAAATGTTTCCCCGCAATGCCACCTGAGTACTGCTCTGTACATCACCTCTTACAGAACGGCCTGAACTGAGCAGAGTAAATGGAGACACCGCAACTAACCATGAGGAGCAAAACACACAGTTCACAACTCAAACCCAACAAAGGCAATTAACTCCATTTGAAAGATTCCAAGTACTTGAATTGCACCAATTGTTTTGAAACACCTTTTTTCTTTAGCTACTTCAACAACAACAACAGCAACAACAACAGCAACAGCAACAGCAGCAGCAATCACAGGGACAAGTTGTTCAAGGACAGTTCCAGCAACCTCAAATTCAACAAGCTCAATTCCAACAACAACGTCAACAACAACAATTCACGACACCTTTGCAGAACCAACAGTTTAGAAATCCTTTCCAACCAACATTCACGGCTCCTCAATGTGTTGATCAATCCCCATGGTGTTCCGCTTGGATATCGAGCAGTCCAAACATCTGCGCGGTATCTTCCATCTACATGAGACGAGATTGCGCTCGATCTTGTCGGTACTGCTGATCATGTTGAAAGCCTATGTGCATAATTTTTGAAAGTTTTATGGTTATTAACTTTAACATCATCTCTGCACGGAGTATTATTACAATATTGTTTCTTATCACAAGCTATATCAAATGCCAAAAACAGTCTGCTCATACCTCTCTCAGCATGACATTCCGTTTATCTATTCCGATGGCCAATCCAAATATGAAAATGAAAAGCCGTCACCCATGTGTACGCCAGTTCTCAATTTCTTACTCAGACTGCTCTTCACAAGATTGCTCCATAGTTTGAAACATTGAAGATATCTAACCAATTGTCACAGAAATATGCTTTATAGTTCTCAAATTGACATTTGTTATTATTTTATTAATAAATACGAATATTCTTGAATTACTTCTATTCTACACAAGACTACGATTCGAGGAAGAAATAGAACACGTAAGTACAGTTTATACAAATTAAGTTGGAAAGTAGCAACCGTTCAGTGACTGCAGGAGTTACTTTCTCAAGCTGTCCCTGTCATCAATAGGCTAAGATGTATTGTACAGGATCTTAAGTAGTGTTGAGTGTTTTTATGTTTTTTAAAGAACTCATGAGGAATGTTCTACAGGTTTGGTTGTATTAACAGATTACCTTAGGGTAATGCTTTTAAGAGTAAGTATTAGGAGTGTCAGTTAGAAATGGCGAGTTCCAGGAGGTACCCAGCCACCAAAGCCTTCTTCCAAATCTTTGGCAGCAGCTATCAGTAAGCGGTCCATTTGTGGTGCTGCTACCACCTAGAACAACAGATTTGTGACTGAACTAATATGTTCAAACTTACTTGAACTCCAAGTGGAAGTCCATTCTTGTCAAGTCCCATTGGACATTGGACAACAGGCAGAGCAAGCGAATTGAACAGAGCGGTGTAAGCAAAGTTGAAGGGAGAGAGCAAAGGTTGATTATGGAACAGAGCAGTACAAGGCCAACTAAGAAACTCATGATATAAACAACGTTTTAAGGAAAAGCGTACCTGGGGAACAGTAAGATACCGTCGTTTCCAAGCAGTTCAGTGAGTTCACGAATGAGACGATCGCGCTTGTAGAAGAACTAGAGCATGAACGATGAGTTACATAATTTAATCATCTTTCACCTCTTTCTTCATTTCTTCACTCATTGTATCAGCTCCATCAAGTATACCAGACATAATTCCGGCTACGGTGTGAGTGGATTTTCCGAAAAGAAGCTTAGGTATCTCCATAAGACAGTTTACAGATCCTTGATCCGCCTAGGTAAGCATTATTGGTTAGACATTATTACGTACAAGACAACCTCTGTGCTCAACATGTATTGCTTCATGGTAGGACCTCCCTTGTTCTCCATACTGGTCAAGAAGAATTCGATAGCATGTCTGGCTAGAGGTAGCGAGAGCCGGTGAGCGATGAGATCATGCTTGGTTTCCAAATATTGAACGGCCTAGAATTGTATGAAAAACAAGCCATTCAGGACGTTTTACCTTTCTGAGAGTTTTCTTCATGTCACGACTCAGTGGTTGTACGAAAGCGTTCTCTTGGATTCCCTCCATGTAATAAACTTTGATCTTTCTCATGGAAACAGGCTCATCAAGTTTGAGTGGAAGAACGGCATCACCACCCATGACCTAGAGATTATGAGCCTTAAGATTCAGCAGTTCCCAAACTTACTTTGAAAAAGAGAGAAATGTCTTCGGCATAACGACACATGGGGCCAACTCGGAGCATTTTCGTTCTGTAGCCACTTGGAGGTGGAATATGGCCATCCAAGGGTACAACGCCTAAACGTTAGCATTATGATCGTTCATTGAGGTCTTAGACACCTGGAGTAGATTTGAAACCGAAAATTCCGTTGAAGAACGAGGGCATTCGAATACTACCACCGATATCACTTCCAACACCGATCAAACTTCCAGCAGATCCGATCAAAGATCCTTCACCACCACTTGAACCTCCTGCCATTCTCCGAGTGTCGTATGGGTTAGAAGTACGTCCATACACAGTGTTATTGGATTCAACCCACATGCAAACTTCAGGCACATTGGTAATAGCCAATAAGATTCCACCGGCATTTTGGACTCTTTAAAAGAAAACTTGAGAAACAAGTTTGCAAAACAAACCTCTTGACGACTTCAGCAGTACGATTACAACGAGTGTTTTTTCTGTTATAAACACCACAGGTAATAATTTTACCATCGACTTCCATGGCATCTTTCATGGTGAAGGGCACACCAGCCAAAGGATGATTTTGAACGTACTAAAAGCAATAGTTAAGACAGAAGTAGATTTTCTCTCAGTTACTTCATGTAATTCATCATCATCCATATCTGCTATTCTTGTATCCAAGTCTCTTGCGGCATCTCTGAAGCAATATTTTGAATAACTGCACACGAGCTGTGGCAAACCGTGCTTCTTCGAAGTTGCTGAGGCAAACAGCATTGATCATTGGATTAACTTGTTCGATTCGGCGAATGTATGCTTCGACCAAATCAGCAGATTGTATCTAAGTAACATTGTAAAATGGAATCAACAAAGCTATTTTTACTTTTCGTTCAGCGATCATGCCAACGGCTTGAGTAGCGCTTATAAGTAAGAGATCATCAGTGGGTTTAGCGACACTCTCGCGAGGCTTGAACCAGTTGTACAAGTTGAAGATTAAACAAACGAAGAAGAAGTATGATCTTGTAGTGATGATTATAATGGGGTTCAAAACCCGCTGAACGATTTCAGGCACCATGGCACCTTCTTACCTAGAATCGGGAAGGTGAGAAGTGAAAAGAAAATGGAAAAAGCAACCAAACAAATAGAAGTTTAGATTAATGAATGATTAAAGCAATTGATTTCAGGCGATATTTGATAAAAGAACAAGGAGCAAAGTACTACAAGACTCGAGTTTGAGAAAAGAGAGATAAAAAGAACTGGCAGCGAGAAATCTACGAGCTCTGTGTTTTTCAAGGTATGTGAGCTTTATAGTTTGAATTCAACAATAGCTGTTGCACAAGATGAATAATAAAGCAAACATGTTCGCATCAACACTCAAAATCATTGATCATGTTGATAAGCTTCACATATATGGCATTTTTTGCTTGTAGTGGAATACATACATTCTGCAACACACGACTTCGGCATAGGACGCAGTATTATACCGTCCTTTAACTTACCAGTTATATAGAAGTTAGTAACTCGTTTTGATCATTATCGATACAATTAGTGTATTTCACCCAACATGGTTTCCGTTCTTAGTGTGTTCCATTGCGTTTTCAACCTGAGAGTACTTAGAGTTCCACTAGTGCAAACACTTTAAAGCTTTTATTCAGCATTGTTATTCAGAGTATATCATCGTTCATTTTTGTGAGTTATGGATATGTAGTAGCATGAGATAGCTGAGGAAGAAGTGACTTCATTCTCTTCCGTCCAATCCAAGCATAGCGGTTGTTCATATGAGAGCAACCGCTACAATTTCTCGTGAAACAGAGACATGAAGTTCTTTCATTTTCGTTTCTCATGAGAAGTCACCGGTCGTTCACGTGAACGATCGCTGGTTCCGCGTGAAAGTGTCAAATGAGTTTTCTCAGCTTTTCATTCTTGTTAAATTGTGTAATGACCGGTTGTTCCTTAGCGCGGCAAGGTAGCAATGGAGCAGTAATTGATGAGATGTTAAGATTCTTGGTTGAGGTCGGGATATTGCGTATTTGGCGGTATGAGGATGTGTTTAATATTATAGAGGAGTGAAGGTTCTGAACGTTTTATGTACAAAAAATTATTTGAATCGTGAATATTATGACGACTAGATGAAACACAGAGGAATAAATGAATAAGTTAGTAGTCACCAGTGTTCGCTTATGCATTTTACAAATTATATCGCTTATGGCGTGAAGTTAGTTCCAAGAGAAGCACACGCATTCCAAATGATAAGATTAATCTCTAAACACTTTGAGCGTTCTTTCTAATAAAGCTGCCTTAGTCGCGTCACTGAAGCTCTTGTATTCCTCGGTCATTCGAAGCTTTTTCACTTCGCTCACTTTATTGAAAGTTCTTAGGCAGTTATCCTGAAATAGTTTCACGTTTTGGAATGATAGGATGTGGTGGTAACCTGTAGCCTAGCCAGATTATATTGATCAGCCCATACTAATTTCGTTAATACACTTATTTCTTCAGTACACTCAGTACTTACAAGGAAACGCTCACACTCATTGACGACATACTGGATTTCGTATTTGTCTCCCAGTTCCAACAAATATTCTACGTTTTCTTCTAAAATGAAGGTTATAAGGAATTTATCTTCGACCACTCACGTGTAATTGGCTTGTGACTTGGATAAATCACATTAAGAAGCTCTATAAACTCGTCTAGGACTACATCTTCCAATGGAATCTCTTTTTTTTCTCTCTCACTGAACTTGGAGAAAAACATGGCATGGAAAACTGGAGAATACAATGCTAAGTACTGAAGAATAGGAATGAAGAAATGAATTAAGAGAATAAAACAAACAGCTTTGCTTATGTGGAGTCGTATTCCATCAATAACGAAGACTGCATCACTTGTATGAGCTTGTGGTACTTTAAAATTGAAAGCAGGCGTTTTTCTGAGAAAAAAAGCCGTTGCATTCCATATGAGTGTATCAGAACAGACCTGACGCCTCTTGACTTTTGTACTGTGATACGAGCTTCTACGAGAATCTTATCATTCTTTATATATCCCTTCTCCAAGTCGAGAATGTCAGACCATTCCATGAATGATGGGAATCCCCAGTTATTGGAATTGTAATTGAACTTATTGGTGAACTTAAAACATCACATGAGAGAAAATTGGAAACAGAGAGTTACTTTTCTCGAAAAATCAGGTACATCGTTCGGCTTTTGAGATACAAGTCGGAACTCTACCAAGGCATCGCAAGACCAAAGAGTGCTCTCACTCTCTGGATTACAGTCAATGTAAACCGAGAAAAATTTGACTTCGGATGTTCTTTTAGTACATTCAGTTTTAGCTGCTAACCGCCTTCAAAAGAGATAAGTAAAACAATCAATGAGAACTTAAAGGATTACCAAGGTAGATTGCCAATGTAGTAGTAATCTGTGTTGACTTTGGTCTTCATTTGTGACAGGTTGTCAATAGTGAGCTTGATCAAGCCAGAGTTCTTGTCTTCTAAACGCATATGAAGCTAAGAGAAATGGATATGAACAAAGTGTTACCGAAACAATTTGTAAAAGATAGTTCATCTAACGTTTGACCTATTTCGGATCCACAATCAGATCCATTGGGTACGCTATTCATATTGAAAGCTGGTCCATCATTCACTGAAAATGGAGAACTGTTGATGTTTCTGAAGTGATAGCGTTATAAAAAACCTGAAAATAGTCTTCTAGGTGGTAAATGTACAACGAAAGAACTGGCACTTGAGTTGGGACTGTTCCGTTCCGAGCTTGGACCCTCAAAAAGCACCATTTGTTGAAAAGAATCGATACTTACGGGTACATTATCCTGGTTATTAGTGGGCGGATTATCAGAGCTTCCGGTAACTTCCGCTAAACTACCGGTTCGGTAGTCACCATTGCTATTCATCTTAAAATACAAAAGTTTCTGATCAAATAATTTGAATATTGATTGAAATTAAGAGACGAGAACGTGAGACGATGAATGTGAGAAAAGGCTTTTACTACAACTATCTATCCAGTAGACGCCGTTAAAAAGCGCACGCTGGCCATTAACTAGGTCATTACCATAATGGATTTATATGAAGCTTCGGCTGCAATAGTTTTCTTTATTTGTTGATTAAGAACATTCGATGAAGATGAAAAACGTTTATTAGCTATTTACAAAGTGAAATGAAAAGTTCTTAAGAGGAAACCTGTTGATCGTTCGTCACAAATCAAATAAATACGAAATCTCTCTCATAAATGTTCCGAAATATTATGGTTTGTGATAATCAGATCTTTATCAAAGTTGTTTTGTTTTAATTTCATTGCCTCTGAAATGACTCTCTGATACTTGTTGTTGTTCAAGATGGTGGCTAACCCGATGAAATATATTCATTACCACGTCTCGTTTCGTCCTCTTGTTGAACAGTCAGATATCCATAGTGTTCGTCTTCCAAGTTCAATAGAATTGCAACTTTGCCTCGCAACTAGAAAATAGATGTTCGAGTAATTCGAAAAACAACGTATGTATTACCTCTCCGAATGTTGGACGTTTCTCTTTATCTCGGGACCAGCACAATTCCATCAAGGCGAAACTGCAAACCATTTCCAGCTTAAGTGCAAGGGATAGGAAAACTCACATTTCATTCGGACACATTTTTGGTTGAAGTAATCTATTGCCGTCTTCTAAGTACTTTATCATATCTAATGGTTGAATAGCAGGGTAAGGACCATCTCCGAAAGAGAAAAGTTCGAATAAGGTAACACCGTAGGCCCAGCTGTAAGCCTGACATCAGTTTCTTCAAACACCGGAAAACTTACACATCCGATTTCGAAGAGTATTCATAGAACTTCAGTGATTCAAGTGCCATCCACTTAATTGGTAATTTTCCTCCTTTGGCGACATAAAGAGAAGAGTCCACATAGCGACACAACCCGAAGTCGCTAACCTGGAGAGCAAATGAGATAAATCAAGGAATGGAAAGAAGCACAACCTTTGCAACCATATTCTGTGTAATAAGTATGTTTCTTGCCGCTAAATCTCTATGGATAAACCCTTTGCTATCTAAGTAAGTCTGAAAATATGTGAGATGAAGCAGTCATTCTTCTCAGCTTACCATGCCGTCACAGATTTGCCAAGCGATAGAAACTAAATCTTTAACCCGGAAATCTATTCGTTTCTCCATATCAGGCTATCAAGTAAGAAATCATGTGAACGAAACTAAACGGGTCAAACATGATTGTTGTCCGCTCTGTTATTCCTGAGTAGCTTCAAAAGATCTCCCTTCTGACAAAACTCCACTACGATTAAAGGATCCTCTGGGTCCGAGACGCATCCTAACATTCTGTAACATCCAGAACTGAATCTTCTGCTCGACTAACAACTTACGCAATAACATGAGAATGATAACCCAATTTCTTCATGAAATCAATCTCATGAAAGAAATCCAATCGGTTCTGATGATCTGCATGAGCTGGAAGGCGCTTAACGGCCACCTCAACTAGATTGATAAATCATTGAACGGGCTGTACAAACCTCGTGTTTCCCATTTTTGCGGTGTTCCAAACTGAGAGATATTCCTCTCTCTGCTTTCAATAATGGAATCTCACCATGAATCTGGCCTTTGTAAACGAAAGCGAATGCTCCATTACCCAATAAGCAATCATGATCAATCTCTAGATTCTCACATGAAACTTCCCAATGATCTTTTCTGGAACAAACGTGGAAGTAGCATTTCGAATCATTGGAGGACAAACTTTGCTGCGATTAGATTGATGTCCATATAATGATTAGCTTCAGCAAAGTTCTTCATTGAATTATCGTGATATGGGGCCGAGGGAGCAGGATGATGATGAGGATGATGTTGTTGCAGATGCTTCTTATGGTTCTGATTCCTGGGAAGTGTCCCTTATTTCATGTTAAAAGTGGTACACATACTGATTGTTGGTTTTCCATCCCCATCTCTCTATAGCAGTCTGTCGATGTTTACTACACTTGATGCAACACATGGCACAAATACATAGAGCACAGACCATAGTAAGACATGGAATGCCAATAACTAATGCTAAGTCTGAAACTTAAACACTACTGTGTGTTCTTCGATACTACGCAGACCTAGAGTATCGAAGTTAGGAGCTGCTACATGTTTCGTGGTGCTCGAATGTAGTGGATGCCCAGGAGTTGTGGCATGAGGATAATTATATTTAGGAGTTGTCTTGCCATAGGGATCTGGGGCTGAGTGAGCCGTCGAAAAAATGGAACTATTGAGATTGGGATGGTGGTAAAGATTTGTTGATGGACTAAAACACTTAAAACACGTACAAAAATAAAAGAAAAATCACTCACAGACTTCGAGGGGTGGTAGTCATACTCAACACGTCAAGATCGAATCATCAAAATTACTGTGATAAGAGTAAATAATCCTTAAGTGATAATATAACACTTAATCATAATCCTTTCAAAATGAAAGTTGGGAGTGTTTGTAGTTGATGTAAGTGCACTGCAACGACCCCACCCCTTGTCTCTGTATCATGAATGAGCAAAATTGTTTTTGGAAAGTTCATAAACAACGGTACAACCATAAACTATTTACTTTGAAATCTACAAAACTAATTAGATAGCGGCATTCAATGCATCCTTGTACTTCTTCACGCGAGAAGCGATAGAAAGGTCGACGTACCTAAATAACTCAAGACTCTTAAAACGTTCAAGACTATTAAGCTTACTTATCTCCGATTGTGACAACGAGACCACCGAGAATGGATTCCTTAACAGTGTAAGTAACATTCAATTTCTGTCCAGAGCTGGCCATCTTAAACAATTCGAGTTCACAGAAGTCATACTTGAAGAAACCACAAACCTTTTGGAGAGCATCATTGAGGGCTTGTTCGTGGGCTCTGCTCAAAGGTTCAGCAGAGGTGACTTGAACGAAAAGTTCTCCGCGGTGAGCTCTCATGATAGATTCGAAAGAGGAGACGACGGAATCAATCTTGTTCAATCTTCCGTTCTCAGCAAGAAGGCCTGATAGAGAATAACATACTAGGAGACAATAACTACTGACTTACCGAGGAAGTTGGTGGATTCCTTAGCAAGACCAAGCTTTTGAGCAACAGCAAGAATAGCATCCTTCTTCTTGTGAGCTTTAAGAGTAGGGTCAAGAACGAAATCCTGCAAAGATGATAACAATCAATAAGTTCAAAGCTACTAAACACTAACTCTGAACTTCTGGTTCTCAAGAGCATTACGAACGGCATGAAGATCCTTATCTACTTGTTCGAGCTTTTGGTTCTTGTGAGCAGCTGAATAGAGAGCAGCAGCATACTTTCCCTCGACTCCGTGAACCTGAATGGCAAAAGTCAACTCGGTTCAGAGAGAGATTTGAAAATTCAAATTAGTCCCAGTTTCGTGTTAATCATATTTCAATTATTTCCATTTTTATTATCTTTTTCATTACTCTACAAGCTTTGACATACCTGAATAGGAGTTTTCACAAGTCCCGAGCGAGCAATGGCGCTCATAGAGAACGATCTCTTGAGGATGGTCGCCATTCTAGAATCAGAATCATTACGCAAATCTTCTAGTTAATATATAGCGTATTATCTTTAGACCCAAGTAACCATTATCATCAAAACTTCCTTCAATACCTAGTTTGAGCTGGGAGACAGCTTAAACCATAAGCAAAACAAATACAATAACTCATATAAAAAGACAAGAAATTACTATAAAAATATTGAAACGAAGAGGGTATACGGGCAGGATGAAAAGTGCGGAATGGTTCATTGGCAGTCTTCCAACCTGGTCTCGACACGAATACTGCGCATCAGCTCGAGTTAGCAGCGATAGGAAGCCAAATTATTTCGTCGATATTGCAAATGCTATAATTCTGGTTTGATGAAGAGAGATGCGGTATTTTAGTTTCAGAAGACCTTTCATCGTATATTTCGTTTCCATTTTGCAGACCGTTTTTTTGAGAATTCTTTGTTTCCTCGCCGGGTCGCGAGAGGCTCGAATAAATTTTTTTTTAGAAGTTTAAATTTGAGGATTTGAAGGTATTTTTTCATAACTGATCTTCTTTAAACGTTAATCTCGACTATCATTTATGGTTTCTCATGAATCCCATTCAATGTTCGACGTTTTTCTTTTATATTTCTCTCTATTGAAATCTCCTTGTTTACTTGTTTTTATTGATTTTTTCTTCGCTCTGCTCCTTTCTGCTCCGCTCTCTCCATACTAATCGTATTCATCATGTGACCTAGCATATGTTTGCATTTCAGCCCTCGCTCTACTAGGAAAAATCATGCCTTTGGCTATCGATTTGTTGCACCCTGATCCAGAATTGGAGAGAAGACGCCACAAGCTGAAGAGACTTGTTCAACATCCAAACTCCTACTTCATGGATGTTAAGTGCCCAGGATGCTACAAGGTATTTTTTTTAAATTTTAAACACTTTCTTATTGTCATTTTGAAGATCACTACTGTTTTCTCTCACGCCACCACTGTCGTTGTCTGTGTTGGATGTAACACCGTTTTGTGCCAACCAACCGGAGGAAAGGCCAGACTCACTGAGGGATGCTCCTTCCGTAAGAAGCAACAAAACTAAACAGTTATTGTTACTCATATAAATTGTTCTGTTTAAACGCCGTTTATTACATACATGATAATACATTATGCGATTTCTTCTTCAATACCCATATCTCTCACACTTCTCACAACCTATGCTGGGTTTGAGAGGTAACACCAGGAGTGCCGAACTCACCAAGGCATGCTCCACATAAGAAGCAACAGAACCACACATTGTTAATGCTATAAATTGTCCTATTCAAACGTCCTTTATTAGTGATAATACATTATGCGATTGTTCCTTCAATATTCGTCTCTCCGCTTGCAACCTGACGTGGGTATAAAAGGTCATTCGAGGCGAAGAAAACAACCCGCGCATGCCCAGTCAGATAAAGCAAATGAATTCCAGTCGAACAGCCTTTCCCAATGTAATCCCGAATAAATCTTTCTCCACATCTCATCGAAATAGTATACAGTTAACACTAGACTATAAACAACCGCTCTTCAGCGCATAATGTGGAGAAATAGTTGCGAAATAAAATAGTGGGTGGGCGAATCTGTCCTTTTTAATAAATAAAATTTAAAAAATAAGATAAAAAGAACGAAGTAACATACTAACTTAATAATTGTGGCCCTAATGAGGGCCGTTGGGTGAGATGGGAAGCACATCATCTATTCCTTTTCTCCGGCGGTCTTCTTGGGGAGAAGGATAGACTGNNNNAAACGGAGATCAGTCTTGAAATCCTGAGCGATTTCTCTTACCAAACGCTGGAATGGCAGTTTGCGGATAAGAAGCTCAGTGGATTTCTGATAACGACGGATTTCACGGAGAGCGACAGTTCCTGGACGGTATCTGTGAGGCTTCTTGACTCCTCCAGTAGCCGGAGCCGATTTACGGGCAGCCTTGGTGGCCAATTGCTTACGGGGAGCCTTTCCTCCGGTAGATTTACGAGCTGTCTGCTTAGTACGAGCCATTGCTTGTGATACCCCTATTTTGTCCTGCTGCGGTAACTGGCCTAATGCGCGCAGGCTCCGCCCATGCAAACAGTCCAAACCCACATAACCATAGAATTGAGCGTCTTCGAGACTTCCTCGGCTTCTTCCCTTCCTGAAACTAATATACATTCATAGCAAGAGAGAAAGAGTTTCAATTACATGAAGTTTCAAAAAGATTTATTAGAATTCGTAGTAAGTGAACACGTGCATATGAACATGAGAATGAGCACCATAACAGACAACAGAAACAAAGATTCTCAACAACCAAGTTAATCGAAGCCAATGTCATCGACCGATATTGAGTTTAAGAAATCAAAGAAACACTCATCGAGAGTATCATCTGAATGGTTAGATTGTTGTTGACTATTGAAAACAAAAAATCTTGGAGTAACGTTAAACTTCGCGAATTGATCGATTATGAAACGCCACAACGTGACATCGTCCCCTCTTGCACCCTGATTGCCTAGAGCTCTCAAATACTTTAGCCATTCACCGCCTTTTTTGAAAATCGTAGCGATTGAAGTTCCTGATTCTGTCTCCTCAACTACCATGAAGGTATCATTGGGCTATCATTATATCATCGTCAATGCAGAAACGCTCATCTCTTGAGAACAGTTTAGCTCCTCGCTTTTCACACATATTACAACACATTTGAAAACAAAAACATTTTGTGGCCCTAATGAGGGCCGTTGGGTGAGATTGGAAGCACATCATCTATTCCTTTTCGCCAGCGGTCTTCTTGGGGAGAAGGATAGACTGGATGTTTGGAAGAACTCCTCCTTGCGCGATGGTGACACCAGAAAGAAGTTTGTTCAATTCTTCGTCATTTCTGACGGCAAGTTGAAGATGGCGAGGGTTGATTCTCGACTTCTTGTTATCACGGGCAGCGTTACCGGCCAATTCGAGAACTTCAGCAGCGAGGTATTCGAGAACAGCAGCCAAATAGACTGGGGCTCCAGCTCCTACACGTTGAGCGTAGTTACCTTTGCGGAGCATACGGTGAAGACGACCAACTGGGAATTGAAGTCCAGCTCTAGTAGAACGAGACTTGGCCTTTCCTCCGGTCTTAGCTTTTCCTCCTTTACCACGTCCAGACATGATGAATTTTTTGTGCTCTGTTTTTAATGAACAGTAAGGACTACATGCAGTCCACGAATAGGTATATTTTGGCGCGCAAGCTCCGCCCACCGGGAGCTCAGATTTACCGAAAATGTTATAATTTTTTTCTTTTATGACACATATTAGGCGGCAAAACTTCAAACCTTTATTTGAATTATATGGAAGGTCAACTCACAATTATACAAAGAGTTTGCTACGTTTTTACATATGAATATTGGTGACATATCTGGTTCCTTATATTACAATCAATGTTTCAGTTAATGTAGCCACATGATTTCCAAAGCATCTGCCACTAGACAGTTACACATTTCTGAAATACAACTCTTCAGTGATACTCAGCTGGACTACACATTACGTTGTGAGGTATTGCTCTTCTTCTATTTTCTCCCGTTTCTGTTTTCTCTTACGGTGGCGATTGTTCCTCTGATGAGGTTCTCGTTGATGTGTTTCTAACATGTCAAGATCTGGAGGCTTTGGATGAATATATCTGTCATTGAGCAGTATAAATCCTCTGAAACTTATCATGAGTTTCCGTTCATCATGTTCTATCTAACCTGTATGTCTGAAGCATTATGATCAAAGCATTTTTACAAGTGAAAAAGATCATAGTGTATGTAACCAGCCCATGTTGGAACATCAGGTAAAGCCGAACCTAGAATCATGTTTTCGTTTTCGAGGCGTCATTGATCTCGTTCTTTGTTTCATATAGTTAACCGTTTGTTTGATAAAAGTAATCGTTTAGATCATCACTCATCTGTCATAGAACAGTCTCAACTTCTCATCATAATACTGATTAGGCATTTCGGGGTGTTATCATGGTGTAGAGCACACACACTTCCGCCTATCTCTGAACACAGACTCTCGTCATTTTCAAGTTGCAGAGGAGCTTTATAGAAAAATCTATTCTATACGTATAACTCAGAAACTAGGAACGGGATTTTCGAAGTAGTATGATAAGTGAAGGTTGTGAATAGTATTCTCTAAACAGGTCGAAGCTAATCTTCTGAATCATCCCAGCTATCGCCCTTCACTCACTGCACCCAACCGGATGACAACTCAAATGGGAATATTTCAATCTTCGTTGTTTTTCCTTACCAGGAGGAAAGGAATATCTTGTAGAGAGTTTGCAAGAATGATAGCCCATATATCTACATCATGCACAACCTGAAGGAAACATAGTGTCCAAGACTGTCAGCACAACATACCTGCCAACAGTCGCGTTGCCTAGGCATGATGAGCTCTTCGTATGTTTTTGTGATAGCTACCCTCATCTTCCTAGCTCTGCTCACAGTTAGAACGAACGGAAATTGTAACAGACTAAGCTAAAAGTCAAAAGATGAGTAGATTGCTCTTTTCGAAAACTGCACCGTCCAAGCTGCCAACACAATATGTTGGACTTGAGTGTTGTTGTAGACGGCCTTCTCTTTGAACACATCGAAGAACTCTACGATATCAGATGATATTGCCTGAAAAGCGATGAAGTAACAGTCTAACCTGACCAGATTGACTTACTAAGTAAGCGAGAAGAATTTGAGACAATTGTTCCCTACTAATATCGCCTTTTGGAAGCATCCATCTTCCTATTATCAGAGTAACCAGTAGTAACTGCTCGAGAAGTTGTAAACGCAACTCTTCATCTGCTCCTTCTAGAACAAAGCACGATTAACGATCGTAGCCTTTTGAAGTTTCTCCACAACAATTCATCAGAATTCAAATTTCACTAACAACTACTGGTTTATTTATCAAAATATCTCGTCTATGAAGAAGAGAATGGGCAGTTTGACAGCTGAAAAGCTCATCTTTGCGCATTTTGGTCTGTCCCAAGAGTACTTGTTGGTGATGGACACTACATGAGAAAGAAGGAGATAAAGATTTTTTTGTAGACGAATAAAACGGATCGACTCGTCAAATGTTTTCTTCGACCTGGCTTTCACATCTTTCGACACCGATGGCTCATTCTTCTATGTGTGAGACATTCAACAAGATCTACGAGAAAGCCCCTTGAGGCATTCTAAACTGTTTTGATATGTTAAAGTGAAACGATTTGTTCAAAAAGAGGAAGTTTCAAATTTACAAATGGACTTCTGCCATCACAGAAAAGACTTATTCAAGAAGTTGATGATCCTTTCCTCATGGGCATCAGCTTTTAATGTTTCTCAAGCTCCAAGCACTTTTGTCAGTTCATAATCTCTGACAAACCTATTTGAACAGTTGATTCTCCCGTTATGGCTATTTCTCTTCTCCATTCGCACATCTTCGTTTCCAGCAGCCAAATGGGAGGAGCAGTTGAGACGATATAGAGCAAAACACTCGTACAGAACCTAAGAAAGCAGAGATTGCATGTTATTATGAAGTTCAAAGCTTAACCATCGTCGTTCATCTCCAGCTCTCATGATGATCGTGTACGACCCTTCGAATACGATTAAAAGAGAAATCAATGCGAAGCCCCATACGCCTTCTCTGGAAAAGTTGTTGTGTGTGCTAAGTATCGATCATCTTCCAGCTTTACCTGCCCACAATTCTAACAGTCTGACCTATTGTGAACATGGAATGAACGATGAAAAACAAGCGTGCCAATATGGCCCTGTAAGAATGAAAAAAAAAGATTTTTTTGCTTCATCTCCACTCTTCACTAGAAATCATGTTAATTGCAACATCGGTCATGAATCTTGTTGGTGGCCCCATGTGCACATGTATCTCTCAAGCAACAGTCTTTGATTTCATCTATGAACAGCCCTTTTCTACTATTTCTCTATTAAGAATATATGAATGACTCCCTAGAGATAGAAATGAAAAGAGCCTGCAAAGAACATGATCATGAGACAGAAGGCAAAGCCTTTTAAACGATTTGTGAAGCCATTTTAAACTAAAAATCTGTCAGATCTTGAAATTTCTCATATTTCACATGAAATGATTGAAATCAGAGATAAATCCTCATAAACAACGTGATAAACAGAATATAAGAATTCATGCATCCTCATACTACTTGAACCTTCTTCTATTCAATCACTCAACATACACTCCATGCATACCTTCCTACACTGATGAGTACACGCGTGCCATCTACATCAACTGGCTGTGGAGCAACTGTTACTCGATGCTTCTTCTGACTAGTTGTTGAACGTCTACGTGCTGTCTCAGGCGTTGCAGATGAAGAGTTGACCATTCTGCTCAAAAGCGTTCAAAATATAAAATGGAATGTATGTAATGGAAGAATGAGACAATCGAACAAGAACAGGCAGATGCTTTGAGATGAAAAGTACTTGTACAAGCCAACTTCTCGTTCTCTGTGGTCGAAAGGCGTGTCGAAGTCCAGTCAGTCTTGTCTCAAATCTCCTTAAATGTAGTATTTCTTTCGTTTTCTTCTTCTTCTCTTTCTTCATCTCTCTTATTTCGTTTTCTATATCTCCTCAGGGAATACGTTAGTCAAATAGGCGCGTTGCCGTTAAATCGCAGAAAAGATTTGAAGAGCTTGGAGTAAGTGAGATTAGGAAAAAATGAAAAATGTAACAAGTAGTTATCGGTTTGAAGAAGAGCAACAGAGGACTCGTTTACTATCCTAAAACATTAAAAAAACAAAAAACGGATTTCTTTGAACTTGAACCATCAGAATCTGAATGGGCATACATGGGTTAACAACGAAAAATTCGAAAACCTCAAGCTTTGAGTGGCATCTTCTGTTATGAAGGCACGGCGTCTCAGAGTTCCAACGGCTGAGGTCTTATTCATCTCTTGCTAAACAACAAGATCACCTACAGTCACACCTTATCAACAACCTTAGAATAGTTTTGTTCTCGCTGAGCATAGGCAACTGCTTCATCGTTACTAACAAACATATTCTTCTTGGGCACATGCTCATAGAAGTTGCTGTGTTCGAAGGATTGTCGAACAGCAACTGAACATATGATGCTACTTGAATTTAATTAAGGAATATTTACTTCTACATTGGCTGAAGAATACTTGAATGCTGATAGCTTCATACTCTCTATAAGTTTGAACGAGAGAATCCTTCCCCATTAAGTCTATGTATGGAATGGTGGAACAATCTGAATCGGCTGCTCAAATGACAATCCCAACCTCTCATACCTATAATAACATGAGTGAGCAATTCAGTTTCTTCTTCAAAGTTTTCAGGAATGTTTTCGTCTTTCTTTTTATGAATCTTCAACTCCAAATCTGGAAAGATCATGTGATCAATCAGCCTTTTAAGGTCATCAGAACTTGAAGAACAAAAATAGTAACAAAGAGTTCCAAGAACTTACCACAACTTCCTATCAGCTCGCTATCTGTGTTCCCTGACGATTTCGACTTGAAGGCTCGTTTGTCTAATGTTTCCGTTAACTTTTCTTGAACTGAAAGTTTCTATTCATACCATTTCATTCGTCTCTGAGTACCCAAGATAGGATTGACTCCGCAAGCTGAGTGCAGCGACGAGGTGAAGAATTCGGCATTCGCAAAGTAAAGCGGGGCATTGAAGCGAAATATTTTGATTCCTGGAAAGGGCATATGAGGTAACGTCATTGATTTCATCTAAACCTTTTATTTCAGAAGCTTCGCGATAATGAGTTAACCCTTTGAAATGAGATGTGCCTGGTATTCGGCCTAAGCAGCAGCCTTCTGCCCTAAAGCTTTGGATGAGAGAGTGAGAGATGATTGTGTGATAACCATTGGGATCGAAATACGACAGACAACATTGCGAAAACAATTCCTATGAGTAAGCCATAGTTGACATTCACTAGTATAACAGAACCAAGTGTTATTATATAAATTAACTAATAAGTGTTTAAGGGGAGCTGTGAAGGTCAAGAGACTTACGAAGTCGACAGTACTCTCTTTGTGGATTTCAAACGTTTGAAATAGTTGGATGAACAAGTCTTTCAAAGCTACAACAACTATGGAAGCCAGAACAGCCTGACAGATTTGTGCAACAGAATTGACATTACTCACAATACCTTAGGTAAGAAATAAATCAGGCAAGATGCTCCGTATATGAATCCCAACATGATGATTGCACAAACTACGGTTGATATCTAGATCCATATGAGATTTCTCCTTCATACATCTGGAACAGACCTGAGATCGGGTTCCGAACTTTACTTGGAGCATTGTTCTACCTAGAGAGCTACCACCTGCGAAGCAACCGAAGAAAGAAGAAATGGTGTGCATTGCTCCTAGGGCAAACCATTCCTGAACAGAACTTTCTTATGAATTGAAGAGAGCTAAAGGAACACCTGGTTAGCATTTATCTCATAGTGCAGCTTTTTTGAAACAAGCTTAGCCAGAGCTATATGGATGACGAAGGAAACAACAGCTATGCTAATTGCTGAGCTTATGTAGTTGGGAAACTTCTCGAATGAAGGAAACTTTGGCGAAACAAGCCCTGAATCCACCTGAGTAGTAATGGGATTATGAAAGCAGTTTATGGTATTATAGAAGTAACCTGTCCGACATGAGGGATATCTATCTGGTAGTTTGTTCCTTGAGATAACCAAACTAGGAGACTGGAACCTACTACCTATGACAGTAAGTTGGTACCGGTCTACCCTTGCACTTACGACACATAATTCCATTGGAAATTTGATGTTGAAGGTTTCTTTCAGCCAAGGATCTATTAGGAATGAAGAGGACAGAAGCAGTATCATCGTTGTAAGTGAAGTAACCAAACAGTTCGTATCAAACTGATTCAATTGAGCGATGAAGCACATATAGAACTAATATTTCAAATGAAATTGGAAAACTTCCGGAAATTACCTTGATGATCCCCAAAGGTTCGCTATTTGATGGTACATTGTAGATCCCAGTCATATACTTCAATTGTGATGTCAGTACATGTATGGCAGCTCCGGATGTCAGACCTTGCCGAAGTAAAAAGGTTCAAATATTATGAATGGTTGGAAAACCTTGTACGAGGTGATCGGATAGCCAAACTGCGAGCAAACCAACATTGAGTAGACCGAACAGAAGTTGGAATAGCCCGATCAGAAAAGTAATCTGACAGGCGATACTCACAGCATCCATAGGATTAACTAAAGTTTGTTGTTGAGCACAGCAAACTTCTGACCTGTTGCTCGGATGCCTGGAGTACATTATATCATAGTCGTTTTGATTGGATAGTTCGGACGAGACAACACTTCCAACCATCAAGGAAACGATTGCGAAAGGACCTGTGGGGTTTAAGGTTAGAGATTAGGTTGTACAATACCAGCTGACGTGTGTTTCGATGTCCCAAAAATGGTGTAAATCAAAGGAGATACGAATCCTGTGATCAAGCCATAGTTAGCGGGGACTCCGACGAGAAAAGCATAAGCGAGACCTTGAACTCTCACAATCATCCGATTCAAATGATTTGAAGATACTAACATTGAGGGACGCTTATGACACTAATCATGATACCACCCAGTATATCGTGGAAAGCACTATCTTCCCAATCATATTTAGTAATCCATCGTAAAAAAGGCACACGATCCAACAAGAAGCTGTACCATTCGTGAGATTTCCATTTTCCTATCTAACCAGTTATGAGTCTACATGTACACAAAGTCCACAACAATACCTGTCTGAAATGCCAATGAATCTTTTGACCAAGAGTCAAATCGATTCTTCTGTAACCATACTTCATATCGAAGAGCTCTTGATTCAAAATAGGCTTCACTCTAGCTTTCATGTACTGTCCCTCAGAAGCTCTTTCTCTAAACATTTTGATTACTGGATTACAGCATCACACGTACGCTATCTTTCCAACATTTCCATTCCTCATGGTGCCTCCTTAAACTCCAATCTTATAACCCCTACTTTACTTTTTCTTGTGACTGTTATTCTAACTAACTTCATTCTTCAGCACGTAATTCATACGCGCAGGCTCCGCCCCTTTCATTGGCTTCATCTCAAAATTAGCATGAAAGATCTAAGTAAAGGAAGTAGATTAGCATTGATTGATTGTGGTATACTGGATTATGAGATATGAGTTCGTTGAAATAAATATTTCTTTCCACAATAATCATTGGAACAATCTTGAAAAAACACGTTTTCATTTGGTTTTAAGAGTAAGTCACTCGGTGGAACTAGATCGTCAGCAACTACTATGATTCTCTCTGCAGCCTATTGAGCCATCATTCAGGTGGTTCAATTGTTCATCAAATTATTCTTCTGAGTAAATTATCTGTTTTTTATTTGTCAATAGTCTCGATGTTATATGACTTCATGTGAATGCTCTGCATGTAGGGGGCGGAGCTTGCTCGATGTTTTTTACTCGAACACTTGGGTTGTTGCGAGGTGACCTCGTGAGCATATATATAATGACCAGTGTTTGCTAGTTGGTCAATTCGCAAAGTCGAAGCATCAATCATGTCTGGACGTGGTAAAGGAGGAAAAGGACTCGGAAAGGGAGGAGCTAAGCGCCATCGCAAAGTTCTTCGTGATAACATCCAAGGTA